AAGGACATGTCCTGGTCAAAAATGACTCCAAGGTTCCTCACAGCGTTACTGGAGGCCAAGGTAATGCCATCCAGAGTAAGAATCTGCTTAGATACCATATATGATGATATTTGCTCTCCCTGAATCTTTACAGTATCGCCAAGCAAAATATTGTGAAACAATGCTCTACTCTAAACTGCCACTACTGTTCATTTTTATTAAATGGTAGCTGAATGTAACATATTTGTTCTTTATGTGGTATTGGCCTCAGTCAGCACTAACATGCATGTTCATTTAGTTATTATTTGAGTACAGTACAGGCACAAATGCCTAAGGTCAGTAACCATACGTGTTTATTGAACGGGTGAAGAGGATCTTAGAAGATTTAGAAGCAAGGACAGGTACAGGATGTGTTTGGAAAAGCTCCAACGGGGCTGCTTTTCTACTCCTCCGTAACCTTTGCAGAGGACTCAGCCAAAGCAATGATGTAATATTATCTGCAGGAGCATAATTAGCTTAATTTTTCAGACTTGAATGAATATGAATGTTTACCATTTTCTCAGAAAGACTATGAAGCTATGACTTGTGAGCTGATTATCTGGCGTGTGTCTTTCCGTGCAGACCGGGCTGGCTCAGTCGCTCTCTCTGTCTGAACACATGATCTTCTGCGGCTGTGCCGATGGAACGGTGCGAGCCTTCAGACCCGCTGACTTGCACTTTGTGTGCACGCTGCCGCGGCCGCACCCCCTCGGCTCTGACGTCTCCTCCATGACTGAGGCCAGGTGAGGAAGAGCTCAGGAGTAACTCGGCCTTTCTTTAGCACTGATCCACTGCAGGATCAAGTGAGCTCTATTAATAGAGCTTTCTGTCTCAAGCAGTGCAAGCCCGAGTCTCGTCTAAATGTTTCTTATTCTCGAGGATGTCGGATTTTTACAAAGAAAACATCTATTCCTGTTGTCCCAACCTTTCATTCCCACAGTCATCTGTTCAACGCCACAGCGGATGCCCGTTACCCAGACACCGTTGCCGTTACCTATGACCCCGTCAGCTGCCGGCTCAGCTGTGTATATAATGACCACAGCCTGTATGTGTGGGACGTGAGACATGTGCAGCGGGTGGGGAAGGTGCACTCTGCCCTCTTTCATCCCGCCTGTGTCTGGGACCTGGAGGTAAATGCATGCAGGAGGAAGTGAATTTATATAACCTCTTTAAAAGCTGTGAGATGTTCAGTGTGTTTCCTCAAGCCTCCTGGCTCAATAGGATTACAGCAGTACAACAGATTGGATTCTACCTATTGATTCGGTTAGTAATTTGCGGCACATTGGGGATCATTACACGAACAAAACTGGGAAACTTGGAGCTGTTGTGCTGTTGTACTGAACATTGTGCATCAGAATTTGGCAGCTTGAAACTGGTGATAACAGTCGATATAAGACAATTCACAGCATAGTGAAACTGCATTTCTAGAAATCTAACTTACAGCATTAATTGTTTTTTCAAATCGTGCTTTTTTTTACCCTCATCTAGTTTATTATTAACTGAACCTCCTCCTTTTGTCACTACTCCCCAGGTGTTTCCAGATGTTCCAGAAGAAGTGGCTTCTGGTTTGTCATCAGGCGCATTCCTCACTAGTTCAGCTGATAACACCGTGAGAGTGTGGCGCATGGACGACTGGACACAAACTCATTCTCCAAACATCCTGAGCCAAGTGAGGTTGACTTCCAAGATCCGTATTCTCTTCAGCTGTGTTTCAAGTACAGCTGTGAAGAGTTACTTTCTGTCTCCCTCATTTCTATAAAGGATCTTTTGAATATAATCTACATCGACGGGAACACCAGCACCTTGCTGGATTCAGAGTGTGTAACAAGTGCGAATTCAGAGGTCAAGTCGGGGGATGGACAGACAGCGGAAATCAGGACGGGCATCAGGACCATCTGTGTCAGCCCAGACGGCAAACACCTGGCATCTGGAGATCGCAATGGCATGCTGAGGTAGGACTAGAAGACTAAGGCTGAGGCTGATGACAGACTGACGTGACCTCTGTCCTAAAACTGTGATATTCTGCAGGGTTCATGACCTCAGCAGCATGAAGGAGATTCTTAAGGTGGAAGCCCATGATGCTGAGATCCTCAGCCTCGAATACAGTAAACCAGAAACAGGTCAGTGTGTGTGTGAGACTGTATTAGTTACTATAATGATGGCACGCTTGGAGAATATTTGCACATTGGCTGTGAATACAATAGGTGATTATGTGGTCTGATTTCTCTCAGGGCTGAAGCTGCTGGCCACAGCCAGCAGGGATCGTCTGATCCACGTCTTGGATGCAGAAGACGACTACAGTCTGGTGCAAACACTCGACGAACACTCTTCATCCATAACAGCCGTCCGCTTTGCTGGTGAGACACTTGAGAAGCTGTCAACATCTGACGGCTAATCTTTCCTTAATCCGACGCTTTCATCTCCGCTCAGCCCCACACAAAGTCCCTCTTTTATTTCACACGCCGCACGACTTGTTTCAATAATAAATGACGGTTACGTGTGTATTCAGGTGGAGTTTTGGTTGCTTGAGCAAAGCCTTTCAGTTGCACTTTGCTTTCTCTTCTTCAGCCGATATGAAATGTTTGCACCACTTACTGTCACGGTTTCAAATGTAGATTTTTGAAGAGGCACTAATCTACTGTCTCTGGACTTTTTCATGAACTGTAAAATTCTTTTACTGATAATAGTGGGTTAATATAAAATAGGCAGTTTGGGGCAAACTACTTTGAAAGCTTAGCTTTTAAGCTACCAATTACTTCATGCTGGAAGAAGCTGAACTGCAGAAATGCTGCCCTAGGGATGAGTCTAGCTGGGTTTGAGTTCCTCTGGTGTATTTCTGCATGGTGGTCATGTCTGCAAATGATGAGTCAGTGGGCAGAAAAAGGATAAGTATTTGGCCTACAGCTGTTTTCCATGTAGAGAAAGAAATGACGAGTTATGCACCGTATGGACAAAAAGTACTGGGCCACACCTCTTAATCTTTGAAATTCAAAGATTTTTTTTCAGTCCCATTAACCTGCTTTCAAAAACATTTATGAAAGAGCGGGTCATTTTAAACTGGTACTTTAATGGGATGCCACCACTGCAGCAAGTCAAAAAAAAATGTGTGTATTAATGGCTCTCACCCCTAAACACCACTTAAAGATACAGAGCGGGGTTTACCCAGTGTAGCAGAACATATTGCATAGAAGATGCCAGAACACTAAGCTAATCAATAACTGCAGAGCTCCAAACCTCTTCTGGCATTAACATCAGCACAAGAACTGTGTGCGCCGAGCTTTATGACATGGGTCTCCATGGTGGAGCAGCTCCTGTGGGTGTAATGTTTAGGTGATTTAGTCCATATAGCTTAAATTTCCGTCTCTAGTTCTGCATTATTTACGTGGAAGTGCAGGGATATCAGCTTTAGCTTTGTATCCATTTTGCAACAGACAAGATTGCTCAGCTAACCAGCTAACTTCTTAAACAACATGCAAAACCTTATCTTGGTAACATAAAAGTAAGTTTCATACTAAAAAGGTCAAAGTGTAATTGTATAATAAGCTGCTGTATAATATTAGGGTGTCTCTGTGGTCAGGTTTCAATTTTTTGAATGAAAAGATCATCTGGATGTCACATTTTCAGTGGCAGAAACGTTGCATCGCTCATGTGGCTTCTCAGTCTCAGCTGTCTGCAGGCTTCTCCAACCTCATAAACACTACATTTGCATAATGACTGACACCAGCACCACTGACTAACAATGGGCTGTGAGGTCAGTTTCATGATCATTAACATGCAAATTGTCACGACCATTGATCAATCTCCATGAGTGCTATTCACAGAGAGTTGGGGTATAGCTGTAATCACAGCACTGTAAAATAGTGAACAATGTACCCTTAGGCCCCCTCAGTTCACAGATGGCCGTTCCTTTTTCACGTAAATAGCCTCCTTGACTCCCCACTACTGTTCCTCCCTGTCCACTGACAGAGCGGCCACTGGCCTGTAGATGTAAATAGACTGTGGAGTCCTGGCCTGTGTTCTGCCATCCGCCTGGCCAGAGGTTGTTTCCATTGACTTTCAAATGTTGTCCATTACTGATAGGAATTTCACAGTCTAGGAAAGCTAACCTGTCATTTTTTACACCCTCCCTGGTGAACTGGATGTGTTTGTTCACTGAGTTAATGTGATCACTGAATTGTGGGACATCCTGAGATTTGATTTTCACCCAGGTGTTATCCACATATGTGAACCGATTACTCGGTGGTGTCCCAGGGTAGGATGGTAGAGTCCTCTTTTCTGCTTCCTCCATATACAAATCGGCCACAGTGGGTGAAACTGGGGAACCCACGGCGCCACCATGTTTCTGCCCTCAACACTGACACACTTGGTCGGTGTTGAGGGCAGGGTAATCCTCTCACACTTTTCACGCACAAATCATTTCTCCTACTGAAAACGTCCCGTCTAGATGAACAGAATCAACTTTCTGGGATTTCCTTGCCTGGATGATTGAACGTGCATGAAGACACGATGACTAAATGCTTTTGTTTTTTGTTCTTTAGCCAATGACAACAAGGTGAGAATGATCAGCTGTGGGGCAGACAAGAGCATCTATTTCCGCACAGCGCACAAGGTAACATCAGATGTTGGATATTACCCAACAAACACACGCAAAAGCATGAGTGACACAAAAAACTCCTGCCGAACGCCAATGTTAAAGCTAATGTATATGCAGGCTGCTAAATGCTAACAAGGTAGGAAACAGCCACCTCATTGTAGACTGGAAACAGTGAACCAGCTATTCTGACTTTGTCAAAGTACTGCCTGCGATATTCTTCTGAATAACTCATTCTGGCCACAAAGAGCTTTATTGCATTTGACTTATTTTTTTTCATTAATTCCTCTCATTTAGGTCACACTTATTGGCACAATGGTAACACAATCTGTTTAGCAATTCTAGAGCACAGACCACAAAAGGAGCGTTTGTGCTACAAGTTGTATAACTATGAAATACAAAAAAAGAGAGGAAAAAAAAGGAGGCGACATTCTTTTGCTCTGGAATTGCTTCTGGGTTAGCAGGCCACTTACAGCATTTTTCATAAACTTGAGACGGGATTTAGGCCACTGCAGTGACTCAGAACATTAAGTTGTTTTTTTGTTTTGTTTTTTCCGGAGCGCAGTAAACAAGGGCTTGTTAGTCTAAAGTGAACCTTCTCTTTGGCGCACAGACATTTATGGAGTGCTCATTTTAGAAAGTTGTTGTGACAGGTTTGTGCTCCGGCAGAGCAGAAATGAGCTTCTTCTGTGCCGTTTTCAAGGATGAGCTGCAAAGAGTACCCTTTTCTGACTATGTCTATATGATGATGATGATGATGATGGTAGTGATGCACAAAAGCTGATTCTCTGTGGTCTAAACCTTGACCTACCGGTATTCTAACTGCCAAACATGTTCAGTCTGTTTTCCCAACTCCATTATTGTACGCAACAACTAGCTGTATACCCACCTTTTAATATGCAGATATTGATCCTGAGTCAAGCTGATCTCTGCAGCCTTTGGAGACTTGGCTCAATGACTGTAAAGCTGCGCATATTTCTCTTTGCAGGTTATATTGAGTTCAGCACGCTCAGAATAAAAGTCACATCGTGCATTCTGCTAAAATACCCCTGATATTTTCCCTACCCTCCTCCAGCGCAGGCCTGACACTGTCTTGTTCTGTTTCACAGACCGACAAAGGAACAGAGTTCAGGCGTTCTCACCACATGGTGAGGAAGACCACGCTTTACGACATGGACGTAGACGCCTCCTGCAAGTACGCCGCTGTTGGCTGTCAGGACCGCTGCATCAGGTAAGCGAGGGCACGTGGCTTCAAAGATACACGAGCTTCGCTAGGAACGTGTTCTTTAAAGGCGCCGGGGCTTATCTCTTCCTTCTCTCTGCAGGATTTTCAACATCAGCAGCGGCAAACAGAAAAAACTCTATAAAGGATCTTTGAGTGAAGATGGAAGTCTGCTCAGGGTAACATTTTTCTCCACAGTTGAAACACCTTTTTTCTTTCTGTCTGTATATATATATATATATATACACACACATATAGAGAGAGAGATACTAAAAGGCTCTTTTGTGTTGGGTGTGGCAGGTTCAGATCGATCCCTCTGGTCAATACGTGGCCACCAGCTGCTCCGATAAAACCATCAGCATCTTTGACTTCTACACCGGGGAGTGTGTGGCCACTATGTTTGGACATTCTGGTAACGCAGCTATCACAGAATAAATCTAACCACAATGACAGAGAACAGAATGAGCGCTAACAAGCCTTTTTTTTCTTGTTTTTGTTTGGCAGAAATCGTCACTGGGATTAAGTTTACCAGCGATTGCCGGCATTTGATTTCTGTATCGGGAGATAGGTGAGAAACCGCCTCTCAGTGATGTCTTTGCACCCAGGCCGAAGCAATCTTCTGCCGCTGCAGCTGTAGGAAATGGCTGTGGAAATGTGTTTGCAGATGCTTCCGAGCTGAAATGAAATCTTGAATATTTAATGCTTTTATCTCCCCCAGCTGCATCTTTGTGTGGAGGCTGTCCCCGGAGCTGACAATCACCATGAGAGAGAGGCTGCACCAGCTCAGAGAAAACCCAAACACACCACCCAGCAAAACCTCCAGTCTCAGGTGACGACACCAGCACACCTCCACCTGTTAATTGAGTACATTCTTTCCGCGAACCCAGCGCCGATGATAAAGAGCCCACCTCAAGCGAATGTATTCCCTTCGCGTATAATGACATGGCAACACAGATAGAATATTCATCTTGTTGACTCTTTCGCTGTGTTACCCAGGCGTGAGGTGTACAGCGCTCCCGCTCTGGGGGGTCTGTCCTCTGACAGCGACCGTGAACACGAGGAGGACGACAGAGCGGCGAACGACGATGCCAATGACCCCGAAGACAACGCGACCCATTCTTCTTCCGCCAGCAGCCACGAAGAGGAGGACACAGGTACTGTGTGATAATTGATGACATGAATAAACATAGCGGTAACTGCTTTTGTTTTTTTTTAAATCAAGGAGGTCAAAAGGGTTTAGTAATAGGTAGACAATCCTCCACTGGTGCACTGCCCTGACATTCGGCTTCTTTGCAGAGTGCAGCAGAATCTGGAAAACAACCAAAATTGTTTTAAACTGACTTCCTCTATTAACTTTGTAATCTTTGTGCTCCTTCCTGCAACAGGAGGCTCAGATGAAGGACAGGACTGGGAGCTGACAAAGGTAGATGTTTGTTATGACTTTAAATAAAATAAATCATTTTGGACTATTCTAAGAAAGCACAACTTAAAGCATCCTAACATGCAGTATTTGCTTTTTGTTCCATTAAAGAAAACAAAAATGGAAAAAAAAAACCGCATCCCTGTGTGTTAATGATGCCATACAGTTTCTTCCATAGCAACAAATGTGATGGAAAGGGTGAATAATTGTACTGTGCTGTGTATAATGTATATTCCCAGCATGGAGTCATCAGCGAGTCCTCAAAGCGTCCCCGGAGGCGTTGGTCTCATCGTATGGGCTCATTGGAAGTGATGGTTAAATCCATGCTGGACCTGACGCAACTGGAAACCTTTGCTCTGAAGAAAAACCCCAGCTGCCCCCCACATGACAGAGAGAGGCAGAGCTCGCTCGGCCTCCAGGAGCCTGTGGTACGTTCTGTTTGTCTATAAATGGTAAATGGCCTGTATTTATATAGCGCTTTACTAGTCCCTAAGGACCCCAAAGCGCTTTACATATCCAGTCATCCACCCATTCACACACTGGTGATGGCAAGCTACATTGTAGCCACAGCCACCCTGGGGCGCACTGACAGAGGCGAGGCTGCCGGACACTGGCGCCACCGGGCCCTCTGGCCACCACCAGTAGGCAACAGGTGAAGTGTCTTGCCCAAGGACACAACGACCGAGACTGTCCAAGCCGGGGCTCGAACCGGCAACCTTCCGATTACAAGGCGAACTCCCAACTCTTGAGCCACGATCGGAGATATAGGAAGCTGCTTGTGTGGATCTGTGAGTGTATAATTGCACTGCCCGTTTTCTGCAGATGGGAGAGAGACCCAGGAGACATCAACCCTGGCCGGACGCCGACTGGCTGTCCTCGCACACTTCCAGGGACACCAAGGGGACAGATGTGCTCTATCCTGAGGAAAAGGAGGACGACACAAGTCCTCTGGACAGGTAAACCTCTGCCTGCTACGCATTGTTTTGCCCGACTGATTGCAATGCCACTGCAAGACAACAAAAGTCCTTTTCTATTCTCAGTTTGCTGTTTCTCTCTTTCTGCACCCCCCCTCCCCATTCCTCGTTGCTCCCACGCCGGTGATTCCGTTACATCAGCGATTACTGCAGGATGCAAGGACGAGGGATCCGTAGCGAGAGCCAGGACAGCCGCAGCCCAGACAGCGCTTGCTCTTTGGATTATGACAGCAGCGAGTCCAGCCCAGATCATATTTTGGATGGTAAGGTCTTACTCTGAATGCATGCAGCATTAAAAAAAAAGAGTCTTTTGTGCAAAAGCTCTGAACTCCAAAAAATCGTGTAAAGCACAGTGTCCAAAGTTGCACTTTTTCAGCAAGTAGCACATGACAGGAGACTGTCTGCTTTAGATGCATTCATGCTTATGCCCTGGTGAGAACATACATACATTATTTACATACTTTCATCAAGATTTTGCAGTTTTTCAACACAAAAACTAACACAAGAAGTCTAAACACCTTAAAAATATGTTACAACCCCCAGTATGTCTATCTCCACGCTGTAAGAGATTCTACAGAACTGAAATAAGCCACACAGTTCCCACAAATTTTAATAAATAATTAGGAACAAGAAGCAAAAGAAAACTAGGAAAAGTCTAACCATAAACCATCAGCAACACTAAACTGCTGCCACTCTGACCAGCCTGGTGTACATCCCTGTTACAGCCCTCAAAAACAGTCCCAGTTTCTCATATCGCCCCCTTGGGGAGATTAATTCCCCACATCTGATCTAAGCTAATCCAACATCAAAACTAAATGTAACAAAACTAAAAAAGAAAAATGCATAACATGAGCATAAACCACTCAACCTGCTGCTGCAGTCACAGGAATGTGAAGGGAGTGAGAGAATGGGCTTCCTGACCGCCCTCATAATCAGCTTTCCGTCCTTTTTCAGTCCATAAGGCCAGACCAGATGCTGCAGCATAACTGAGAGGTCTTTGTATATTTATAATGCTAAAAAAAATGTGAGCTTTCTTCACGTTGTGAGGTTTTTTCATGTTGCAGTACTCTCTGCCTGCCTGTGCTCAGTCTCAGGTTTTCTTTCTGAAGTGTGCCAAACGCAGGATTTAAAATCACGATTTAAAATGTCCAGGGGAGCTTTAAAATATCTCTTCAATGTACAGTGAAGCTCATACCTGCAGAGAGGGATTTGGGCGTGCAGAGAGACATGGATTTTATTTATTTATTTTATTTTATTTTATTTCGAGGCTCGATAAGAGAAATGTCAGATAAAACTACCAGGCTGGTTATTTCTTAAGGATTACAGAGTACCTGCTGCCCCCCTCCCTGTGTGTAAAAGCTGTATCAAGGCCACTGAAGACTTTGGTTTCTCTGTCATACTTGTGTCTCTGCTGCGTCTAATTTTGCTTTCGCTTTCAGATCCTGCAGAGGCAGAGTATCTGAGTGAGAACAACTCGGATGAGGAGAACGACGAGAAGGAGGTGGACGAGGAGCGAAGGGAAGGGGTGACGAGCATGGACGAGGCTCTCAGGACAATAACGGACAGTGGCGGATGCGATCGAGCGGATTTCCTCAAGCAGAACTTTGAGACGCTGTCGGAGGGCTGCACTACAGGTAACACAGAACACACAGGCAGGCGTGCTTTGAGCTTTAGGGAAATAACCTTATTCTCTTTGTTGTTGGGAGCCAGGGGCAGAAGATTGATACCCTTTTGATGTCTAGTTATGACTAATGTATAGCCTGTTTGTGGCTAACTCCTCCAGACATGGAGAAAAGAATTATTGCTTTATTTCCCAGACGTCTTTAAATGACCTCACGTGCAAATTCAGACACAGTCAACACTTATTATCCTCTCAGTCTCACTTCTACTTCCTGCCTCTGTCTCAATTGTCTTCCTTTTTGTTTTTTCTTGATGTCCATCCACAGCTGAGCAGAGCAGAGTCCCGAGGCTCAGTATGTCTTCACGCTTCCTGGCCGGAGGACATAATAACCGGTACTGCCTGACCACTTCAGACCAATGTGGATTCAACAGCTATAATTACAAACCCATGCGGACTCTCACACGCCGCTGTGTACTTTCCCTGTCTAGTCAAGCTGTCAGTTTAAAGTCACATTGTTAACCCTCTACGGGTGATTTTGTGCAGGAAATTGTTTTCTTTTTTTATTCTTGGAGGTGGAGATGTATAAGTGTAAACAGCTTCATATTTTGGGGGCTAAATGATGTCTAAGCTACTGTTAAAGAGGCGGCTCTCTGCAGAAGTCTCCAAATCCACCTACCAGCACATCTAAAGCTCGCTAATTCACATGGTATATCTTGTTTAAGCAGTGCAACCCCCTCCTGTTTAAAGTTTACGCTAACTGACTGCTGGATGAGGCTTCATATTGACTTTACAAACCTGAGAGTAATATCAATCTGCACATACATTAGGGGAATAATGTGTGTCTCATTTATCTGCTTCTCTTACCCGGTATTACCTTTCTGCGCAGAGACGTGCTTCTGTTTGCCAAAGCGAACGGGAAGGAACAAGGCGGCCGCTCCATTAAGCCCCCGGTGTCAAAAGTGCGGCCCTTGATGGAAGATGGCGTAAGCGGGAACGCAGAAAATAAGAGTCCCGTGTCCCCTGGGAAAGCTCAAGGGCCAAAGTAAGAAGAAAGCACATACATTAAGAGGCGTCATGGGGGTTTCATTTTTGAAGCAAAACCGGATCTGCGAAAAGCATAAAAGTCACTAAATGATTCTAAAAGATCAGTATGAACAACATGGGGGGATAGATGCTGTGTCACAAGGCTATGTCAGCACAACAGCAGACATTTCACTGTGCTTTATTCCTGCCAGTCATGTGACTAAAATACTCACGCGTGCCGTGAACAGATGGTAAAGTTGCTGTATCGCGTCTCAGCAGGGCTCAGGAGAGAAGCAGTCCACCCCAGAAGACGACGACCACAGGGTCCCACCTTTGGAGGTTTTCTAATCCTCCCCCCAAAGCTTCGCTGCTGCTGGACAGGACGACGTGCATCCAAAAATCGCGCTCTGCCCAGGACTTGGCCACGCGCTGTACGTTTGATCCGGTTTCAATTCACTCATTTATTTGTCTGTGGTTCCTGTAATGTTTGTGTCGGATTTTTCAGTGAACTACAGTAATTCCATCCGCTGGCAACTGTGAGAAAGTTAATCTGCCTCAAGAGTGTATTTAAACATAATTTGCATTGCTGACTTACAGTTTCTTTGAAATTTGCCAAATTAATCAGTGTATTTTCCCACATGAGTTGAAAGTAACTGCTTTGTAGTCTTCTGAATCAGTTCATAACACTTTAGCACGTGTAATTTAATTCTACTTTCTTAGAATTAGTCATATTAATCTTCTCACTGTCTTTTTCTGCAGCTCTTTCCTCCCCTCTGCCCTCTAGTGACCAGAGGGAGTTGCACAAGAGACCTCAGCAGCTTTTCCTCAATGAACCCTCTCCCAGACCTTCCTCGTGCTTTTCTTCACACTCCTCTGGGTCCCCACAGTCATCCCAGTCCCCACTTCCATGGGAGAGCCCTGAACTCAAGCCCCAGCACTCTTACATGAACGCCACTGCTAGCTCTGTGGCAAAAAACCGGTCCTCCTCTTTTGGAGATGCCATCCATATAATGACCCCGCCAGGATCCCCCTTTTTCTCCAAGAGGAGGAGGTCGTCTGTGGAGGTAGAAACTGAGCCTCCCGTGCTCGCCTCATGTCCTGTCCTGATTTTCCCATCGTCTGCGTCGTCAAAAGATTCCCTTCCACTATCAAACATTCCCTCCTTGACTCCACCTCATCCTACAGCCAGCCAGAACGTCCCTCCTTCTCGCATCCCACTTCCTAAGCAGCCGCTCAGCCCTCGACGCAGCCTGTGCCTGGAGGTGAAGCCAAGCTCAAGTTGGTCTGGAAATATCAGCAGGGCTTCTACTCCTACAACAGACCCCGGATGTCACCATAGAGCTACTCCCCTAAACAAACAAGGTCAGAACGCCGGCCAGCTGTGTACTTTTTGATGTCTCCACAGAGCTAAGGAGCTGATCGGCTAACTGTGTGCTTGAACGTGATTTTATCTTGTTATTTTCAGCATTAGGCAGGCACCTGTCTCTAAGTTTGGATTCCTCTTTGTCATGTTCCATGCCTGTGAAGCAGAAAAGGGACTCTGTTTCTGAGAGGTGAAGTTTTACATCACTTGTGAAGACTTTGCTAGATGTTTTTTAACAGTCGCACATCAAATTGCTAGTTATTTGCTTCATACACAATATGAGTTGGCTGCAGTAGTATTTGTTCATTGTATCTGTTCAGTTCTGGGTATCTTATATACAAGAATTAGTACTGCCACTGCAACTGACTTACATTTCTGGCTTTTATTCCCAGTGCCAAGGAGCCAGGTCAGGTGGCTGTAGCTAAAGAGTGCCCTCTGGTGCCTGAACAGGCCCACACATCAAGCCCACAGCCAGGTTTGTCCTCCCACGACTTCTTTAACCAAACCTCCTCTTATTTGTTGCTACGTCCCCTGATGTTTTTCAGTACTGCCTGTCAGTCTTATCTGTCTCATATTATCTGCCTGCTTCCAGTTAGACCTTTACAAGGACGACACATGACAGAACAACAAGTTTTAAATATCTGCTTTTTTTGTTACATTTGTTACATTTATATTTGTTACATTTTGTTACTTTCATTCCTTTAGCTTCTTTGTCTTCAGCCCTCTTCTCGCTTCCCTCTAATATCAAAATATGGATGATTTTCATAAAATTTGCACATTTGTACTTCCTGAAAAGGATGAAGGTTTTCCGTTATGGCCTCATGTTTGCACACCAGGTACTGTTTTCCATTATCTGGGGGAATTTGCAGGTGAATTTGAATATTACTTAGACTCTGCTGTGACGTCAAATACAAAGCCTCAGTTAATGGGCAGTGCAGAGTTTTCCTCACATTGCTCACTCGCTCAGTAAATAAAAGGTATCTAATAGTTTTAAAGTGCTCTGGTGAATCTTACAATAACTCCATCCCCTTCGTCATACTTCCCTCCCGGCTGTTCTCTGAATGATAAGCGCCTTTCAAAGGCCAGGAATTTCTTTTCGCTTCATTTCAATTTGAAAAACACAGAAACCTTAAATGGCATTAAGTGATAGCAGCTCTGTACCTGAAACTGTGTTTTGCTGGATGATATAAACTGTGAAATCAGTTTTCTTAGTTTACACTGTTACAGCTCTGCAGCTTTTTGCAGCAACCTCCTCACCTGTTTGTTTCTTTTCTGATAACAACTTTTCCCTCTTTCTTTCTTATATGCTCTTCAACCTTTTGCACAACGTTTACCGCTCTCCTACTTCGCTCGATAACAGCGCACGCTTGTGTTTGTGCTATTTGTGCTCCTGGGTTTGGTGCTGATTTTCTGCATGCTGTGCCGTACTTGAAATTCATTCTCTCTATCTCTCTCTGCAGATCGCTCAGTCACCTTGGAAACTTGTAGGCAGGTTGTTACCGACCTTCACAGCAGTCTGCGGAAAACTGTCATGTTATACACTACGGTCAGTGTGTGCGTCTGTGTATATGAATGCGTGAAAATGGTGGGTGGATGGAGAACTTGATAGAAAGCAGGAAACAGAGAGAGAATAAGACAAAGGGGAAAAGCAAACATCTATAATCTGATGAAGCGAAAGAAGAGATAAAGGCACTGCCCATCTGTGTGTGCCCCTGGCTGCCTGTTGACTGCATAAAAGACGTGTGTCTGGGCATTTTAAAGCCACCCATTTTAAAATTCTCAACATGGCTTTCACCTTGTTGTTTTTGCTTTGTTTTTGTTTTTTACATATAGTCAGAAGTGACCACATTTAAACAAGAGGGTGAACTGTTATCAGCTAATGCTAGGTAGCTTGGTTAGCATGCTAGCTTGGTTAGCCTGCCACCCAATCTATTATCCAACCAAGGGTTAGGGTATCAATAAAGTATCAATAAAGTGTAAGTGTGCACGCATGGATCCAGATACCTGCTGATTAGGGTTGAGTAATGAACACAGGAAATTGTAGAATTTAACTCACCTAAATCTTAGCAGGGACTTTTTGGATGGGATGCTAGTACAGTAAACTATACAGCAAGCCACACTGGAAGGTACACTATATAGATAACATTGGTCACAACCCTTAATTTTTGAATTCACGTGTTTTCAATCCCACTGCCACATGTGTATATAATCAAACACCTAGCCATGCAGTCTGCTTTTACAAACATTTGTGAGAAAAAAAGAGTTTCA